CCAGCGCGTAGGTGAACTTTTCTCCGTCGTGGTTGCGCAAGTACACCGACTGGTACAAGATGCGCTCGACGAGCGGTCGGAGACGTTGACAGACCCGCGCGAGGCTGGCGAGAGAGCCGCGCGAGGTGTGCGCCAAGATGGCCTCCAGAAGCTCTTGAGGTAAGTCAAAGATGTGCATGTGGATTAATTGAGCCAGGTTGTCTTGGGAGTCTTGGAAAGATGAAGTTCGGTGGGAAGCCGACAAGGAAGGGGTAATTATTAAAAAGCGGGTTAGGCTGGGGGCGGTGGCTGATCCTACCAATTCGTGCCCTAACTTTTCCCGTTAGGATCCTTGCTGAGCCTCGCGGTTTGGCCCCAACATTGAAACATCATAGCCCCCAAACGTTCAGCATTGAAAGGGTCAAGAGCCATATACCGACAGATGAGGAAGAACGTGATGTCGCCAGCGTAGGTTAAATACCTGCCCGGTCCCTGTCTGTATTTGCTGTCACCATCACACAACCAACTCTTTTACAATCATTTGAATTCTTTTTCACCATGGCTGGTTCAAAAGCTGTCGCTCTTTTATTGCTGCTGGTTAATCTAACCACAGCCTCTGTTATCCCACGTGGAGAGGCCACATCGTCGGCGGTTGCTGCCAGTGCGAGCGCGAGCGCTGAGGCTTCCTGCTGGCGATATACACTCCCTACCACTCTCACGGAGGATGATATCGAGCAGAATGAGGATGACACGACCTCATCGACTAGGCGGCGGGGTCTGAATTACTTTGATCGCCGCGATCATACCAAGACTGAAAAGCTCGGCACCTGCGACTTGGGGCAGACGATCTACAAGCCCAAATACTTCCGTTCAAAGAATATCCAAACTAGCCAAAACAAAGTTAGCGGTTATAGCTTCCTCGGGTACTTCATTCCTAAGCTAGATACCTGCGATGCAGCCGTTACGTTCACGACGATTGCAAATGCAGCTGACGTTCCGAAAACAACGGCTGGATACTGGGATGATGTTGAGGCAAGTGCCCAACAAAAGTACCTCGACCTGGGAGCCCAGATCAACAAGAACAACCAGGAGATGCCACACATTAATGTGGATCATGTTTGTGAGTGGTCACTTGTTTTAGAGTCTATGCATTATCTAACTATTTCTAGACGAGCTCCAAATCCTTGATGCCTTTTTGACGGCTATGATTGACGAGTACAAGTTCTGCGACAGTTTCAAAGAATGGTTCCTCACGATCGACTCAACCTTCAAGAACAAACAAGGAGTAAATAAGCCCCGGCTCCAGAAGCTCTACAGTTATGTAAGTATCTCTTCCCGGATTAATCACCACCATAATGTGATGCCGGTTGCTAATCAGTATGGTAGTTGCCTGGTGAGACGTATCCCGACTTGGTGGCTATGGACAGTCGCTTGAATTCGTACAAAGCACCTGTGAGTTTGATATGCACCTTTCCCATTACAGTTTACCCCACCCAACAAATGATAGCTGACCATCGGCTCAGATGTTCGGAAGCGAAGAGTTGAGCGGCATGGCTTCGGTCGACGGCACCGGAGACACCCGCCAGGGCAGCGCGCTGAGCATTATGAACACTCTGGCAGTGGTTGTCTCAATGCTCCGCGACAACAGCGTCGCCACCTACTTCAAGAACGCCAACACCCGCATGTATAAAGCTTTCCTTGGGATTGATGACCTCATGAGCCAACAGAAATCCTGCAACCAAGACCTCGACCTCCCGCAACCCAAGAACGGCTGGGCCAGTGCGTACGAAAGCTGGATGGACAAGTTCCTGAGTACCCAGGCAGCTGCTGTCTCGACCCGCATCTCATCGGTTTCTGCACAAGTCACTAGCACCGAGGCTGCGGGGGTCAAGAATATCTATGGCAAGGCGCTGGATGCGTTCAACGAGAAGTACCCCACTGCATCATGGAAATGGGACAACGGCAAGCTGCTGGACTGGAGCGCAACTGACGGCACTGCCTTTGCCAAGCGCGATGCCTCGTCAGCGGCTGTCTGCACGCCCACGGCTACGCCGTCCTCCTCGGCAGTCAAGTCCCACTCTGCTTCTAGCAAGGCCACGCCGAGCCAGACTGGAACTGCAAACACGGCCTCAGAGACGGGTAGGTAACTTCAAGATTCATAAATATTTTCATCCGCGGATGCTGATGTGTTTAGCTTCGCACACGGTCAAGTCCACCGTGACATCATCCTCGCAGAAGGCGACGATCACGCCTGCCACAAGCACCTCCACCAAAGCCGAGACCACAACTAAGAGCAAGCACGGCTCTGGGTCTTCCGAGGTAGCACAGACTACCAAGTCTACTAGCAGCAAGCCGAAGGATACCGAGACCGCAACGACCAAGTCTAGCTCATCGTCGGCCAAGGATACCGCGACTATAACTAGCACCAAGACCACGTCGACGGCTACTCCTGACTCGAAGGATACGAGCACCAAGGATACCTCGACTAAGGACACTTCGACTAAGGACACTTCGACTAAGGATACCACGACCACTACTTCGACGTCCACAGAGACAAAGGAAACCACCACCTCAACCAAGACTTCCACCACGACTAAGAGTACGAAGACGGCTACTAAGACTACTACCAAGTCTTCGAAGGAGACTAAGGATTCATCCTCTTCTTCTTCGTCTTGCAAAAAGAAGAAGTGTAAGAAGGGGTGAGTTAATGCTGCTCATACAGATAAAGGACCTTGGCTAACCTGTGGCTTAGTAAATGCACCTGCGTGTCCTAAATAGGGAGAAGCACTACCTAAAGGTGGGAGATGCTGTGGGATGCTGATGGGGAGACATTCATGTATTTTATCCTTTAGAATCTGGGGTAATGTCTTTATTATCAAGGCCTTGTCTGTTTATGATATCTGTAAAATCTATACACCGATAGGATTTCAAAGGAGGATTAGTTTTGAAGATCACATGGTCTGCATAATAAGGGAGACGCTACACACCCCACCCTCCACCCACCTTAGTGGGGAAGCCTGGCTTTGAGAGCCAGCACAGTCGCTACCGCCTGCCGATTGTGTACATTTTTACCTGAAACTGAAATATACTACCTAAGGCAGTATATTAATGCCTCGGGTATCAGGTACCTTAGATAGGATCTAACGATTCGTTTCTAATCCAGGAGCTTTGATCTTATACGGGTAGTAATGCGAATATGTGATAAATCTACAAATAGTCGCTAAAGTCGAATTCAGCGCAATGTCCCCTCAGCGGCTCTTCCCCCCCCCACGACTATCCTAGTCCTCCTCAGGCACACCAATCAGTCATAGTTTCTCGGCTAATTACTATGATGTTAGTCCACAAACATAGTTGCTACTTTCTAATGGTGTGCGCGCTGTTTGCAGGATATCATTATGAGGCGAAGCTAGTTCCGATCTCAAGGTGTCGGGTGACCGTGTCGTTTGCGGTCTTAGATGCTTACAGCCCAGGGTGAAAGTTGGTGGAAGGTAATTGAGAAATTGGAAAGATTCATAAGACTTATGTTATGATGAACATTAATTACCCTTACGAGGAACATGCTGTCGTCCGCGCTTGCAATGATAGGGAACTCTCATCAGCCTTACCTCACGATTTGTACCCCAAATTTGCGGACAACCAATCCGAATAGCCACAACGGAGAGCTCAAGGCTAGGAGAATCAGAATAAAAAGTGCATCCGTGCTAAAATTGGCTCCAAATGGTTCGCCAAAAATCTTTCTGTGTTGGATTTTTAGGTCTCGCTCTTCATCTTTCGTCATAAGCAGAATGCGATTGATCTTTTCCATTCTCTCCTGCCACCTTTGACGGTATGTTTGCTCCAATCTTTGAAGCTTTCGAGCTTTAGCCTCCATGATCTGTGCTTTTTCTTTCTGAATTTTACCAATCTTACGCCTTAAAGACGCCTCCAGAGCTATCAAATGGGCCACTCGGCTTTCTTCTGTCGCCTTTTCTCTCTGTTTCTTCTTTTTCGGCCTATTTGACGGCCCTGCTTCTGACCAAAGGATTTTATGGCGCTGGTCTAGTGGCGACTCACTGCCCAAAGCGATGGTTTCAGTATGACGGTTTGGTCTTCCGCTGAACTCAGTGTCGTCGGGGTACCAAATGACCTAACATTAGTCAGACTGTAACCCTGAGTATTTTCATTGAACTTGATAGTAAGTATGATTTCCTCAATCAAATATACCTTTTGGATGTTATATCTTGATGCAGCTCGACTTATAACACTCTGGAATATCTGGTCAAGCTCCTGCTTTGTCCCTTGCAGGGCCAACATTCTCTCCTCACTCAATGGAAGATGGTGAGCCATGACATTCCGTATTTGCTTCGATTTCTTGAGTAGGTTTGAGAAATATTTTGCGGCTTGTTTGCCTAATACACCCCGGAGCCTGCTGCCAGGCTGGGAGCAAGCACATTCAAGAGTATCGACAATTGCCGGAAGGTCCGCTGCCTGGTGACAATAATATCCTCTTTCTTCGAGGCCATTTGGATCAACTATTTCTGAGAGGATATAGCCTAAGAATTCCAACTCTTTGGTCCACTTGAGGACCTGTTTGTGAGACTCGAGGTATACATCAGGTTGCTGTTCCATGCTTAATACATAGTAAGCTTGAGGGTTTTATTCTGATGACAAGTTTCAAAGCATTTAATTCATGAAGCAAGAGCAGTTGATGAAGATGCGCTTAATGTCGTCATGTTGATATCATGAACTAAGGTTCAACCGGATGGATGCGGATGTTGTGGTTGGAGTAGAGAAACACGAGGGTATCACCAGAGAAGATACGAGCAGACGAGAAGGTGTTGCCGTAAGCTCATAGTAGCTATACACCCATTTTTCCTTGGCCAGGCAACCAAACGCCTAACCACCTCCTGATGCAGCAGGCTTTGGTCAAGGCTTTGGCTGCTATATATATCGACTTCTGGAGTTACCACTACTCCCTGAATATATAGGTTAGGCCCTTATCGGCAGCCTTGTCGGATTTCATACCAGTATGGTCCATAGCTATACAACCACTATTTCTCTTTTGCTGCACGCAGCGGAGTGTCCATTCTTATTTCCCCGAGTATATAACGAACCCCAGCTCCAGCCAATTGCCATCATGTAGTATGAATGAAAAGTTTGAGGTTGTCCGCTCAACGATGTAGTGTATCAAGTGGAAGCAATCCCTGATTACACCTTTCTTTTTGCCTTTTTATTCTTTCCAATCCCTCGATTCCAGCTATCCCACTCCATAAATTCTTCCTTGGCGCTTTGAAGCTGGTCTTCATGCTCATTAAGACCTTGCTTCAATGAAGAAACTTTTAATTGAAGCTCATCCATTTGTTCCTCCAGAGACCGGGCACCCAGTCCGGTCGTCCTGAGTCGTCTAGCCAACTTGTGCGATAAATCAACCACGAAATCACCGCCCTCTGCCATAACCCGATCAAAGCTCTCGCATCCTAACAGAGTAAACAGAGTATAATAGATCGCAACGTACTGAGATAATAACTTCCGAGCAGGATTATCTTGCAAGTACGCGCCCGGGGTCGAACCATAGACAACACGTATAGCATCTGCGACATACGAAAACACAGCCTCTTCGTCTGCATCTAAGATGAGAAGAGATTTTGTGAGACGCTGTAGTGCAAAGACCTCAAGTTCACGGATACAATATCGATGTGCGAAACAATATACTTTCGCGTGAATGAGAATTTCAGCTCCACGGCTATCGTTAAAATACTGAATTGCTTCGTCGGTGCAAGTACCTGCAGCAGTAAGGCTTTTATTTGCAGGTAGGCCAGCCTCGAGACACCGACCCAAGGGTGTTAATGGCCTGTTAGGTAATTTCTGATTATCTGGCGTAGACTCAGATACAATGGGCTCTGTGTCAGTTAGATGGAACGGCTCAATCCCGGTACAATGAACCATCGAAATTGAATTTTAGCGGACAACGGCCTACCTTTGCAGTCATCTTTGCTTTCGCAACTATCATCCGGAGCAACTTCCAACTGCGGGACGTAGTAATCCTGCGTATAAAGGTAGCTTAAGACGCATTCGACTGTCTGCTCATCGAAGTCGGACCAGTCAATTGGACTTTCATCTCCGTGCTGCCTCCATGGCCCTTCAATTTGCGCACTTAGTGCCGAGTTTTTGCACCATGACAGGGCTTCAGGATGGACATAATAGGGGACCTTAGCACTCCCTACAATCACCTGGATTGGTGGTTTTCGGAATATCCTTCGGCTCCATTAGTAAAATTCATCATGACGAGAAGAGGTGTTTACCTTGCATATTGAGAGGTTTTAGGTCGTGGCTCCATTTTCGACTAAGAACAAAGCGTGGATTTTCTGTTGACAGTATATAGAGGGTTTACATGAGTTCAAATCATGCTTTAGCTTGTCCCCTTATCAGCATGACGTGCCTTTATAACACAGGAGTTACCCCGCTCCGAAAGAAAGCAAGGCTGCATACTTCTGTGCTTGCCGCCGACGAGGGTGAGGAGGGGTAAAACAGTTGGCAAGCCTAATTCTATTTGAGCGCCTGTACCATCATTTTCGCAGCCTCATATTTATGCCCAATTTTGTCGACACCTTGATGTGGCCTGGATTTATCCAAATAATTTGGTATACTGCTTAGCATAGCCCCTACGAGAGAGTTGCCGCACGTACCCAACCAATGGCGAATTTAAACCTGCCGAAGTTATCGGATTCCACTATAAGGCTCCCTTGGAGACAAGGCTACCAAGCTGCAAGGCTGATACTCGACCAGGGATAACCCAACTGCGCAACTGAACATATCAATATTGCGAAATTAATCCACTCTCGGCATTTCAGCCTTGCAGCTGGAGCTGCGAGGCTTTAGCGCTCCCTGGTACTAGATGTGGGTTGATTGTTGTGTATATATTGTCCTTAGTATCTTCTGGCATTCAATAACCTCTTGTCAAAGTCTTGGGAATACTTCAATTTACTGCTACTCACCCTTTTCGCAGTAAAAATGCAAGATATCACCAAACCTAGTCGAGCTCTGCTTCGATCAACATACAATGATGAAGACATTCCCAGCAATTCAGCATATCATCTCGCCGACAACGGAGATTTGAATCAGCGGTACCTCCGAATTATTGATATGTCATGGATGCGTGCACGCCTTCCGAAGATCTCACGAGGGCAATCTTTACTTCCCTTTGCCGATACTAGGCGCAATCAAGCTCCCCCACCTATAGCAAGCATCTCGGTGCCTAATACTTCCCAAACGTCGGGGCGTAGGATTCGGCGCGTTCGAAGGTATGATCCATACTTGAGAAACACCATCAAGCATGGGAGTTAATGTTGAGAATGCCCAAGGCAAGATAGCTCGGACACTCGATCCGAGCAAAGTGCAAGGGACCGCCGACGTGGCCCCCATGAAATTCGGAATGAGGAGTTGGCAGATTTCTTCAAGCCGATGCTTGAGGAAGACTTCACCGTGATATTTATCTGTTGGGGCAGAAAAGAGCGCTGCCGGATTGTTCCGGTGGTGATCACTGACCCAACTAATGAGGTTACCGCGTGGCAAGCAATTTCCCGGGAGTTTTACGCACAGAGAGGCGTTTGGGCGAAATATTTGCCATGGTTTTGTGTGAATAAGGTGGAAATTGTTGATGTATGTGGCTCCTAAACATCAAAATTGAGGCGATTATTCTGATTGCAATACCGAAGATTTCTATTGCAGGGCAGAAGCTGGCCAATGATCATCGATCGACAGGCATTGAATATGTTGGTATATATAACAGTGAAGATTTGGTTGCCAAAAGGAAGCATTTGGAGCAAGTCATCGCGGATTACAAGCCTCAGGATTGGCCTTGTCCGTATGACATTTCTACAGGGTCCGTGGTTTGTCTCTATGATTGTGTAACGAGCTATGCGGATTATGTAGAATGCCCTGAGAGGACTAAATTCAGAGCGGAACGTGAGCTCTCGCTACTCAGTCTCCGGCCTATACTTACCCAGTGCTTCTTTCAAGCTAAGATTGCTGCACACAATCACCTCCTTAGCAGGGAGAGATTAATACATGGTCACCAGTATGGGTCTCCCTCGTTCGTCAACAACTATGATCGAGAAGTACTGATCTTCAATCAATAGAGATATCCTGAGAGAACTCAACGTTTGGCATTGTCCGGAGTTGGGTGAGATTCAATTTCGCGGCTTGATGATCGGCGACAATTGGGAAGGCAATTTGCAGCATATGGTGCTACTTGTGACAGTAATACTAATTTTGCTGAGCATAGCCATTGCAAGGTTAGTTTTCGATGACTGGGCTATAGCATGGACCGTTGGTGCCTTCTTTGTAGGGTTGTTAAGCTTGTTGCAAAAGGGGAAGAGTTGGTAGCTACTATGCAGTGGGAATTAATCACCGGTTACATTATATGATAATAAGATTATATGCTTGAGTTGGTCTGTCTCCAGGGCTGTAACATATTCTGTTCTGGGAACATATAATTTTGTCAAACCAATGAAGTACTACTCAAGACTCTTTCATAGTAGCTTCATGGGGGCTGGTTGCTCTACTAGTACTATGCTAGTATAATATTTATTTCTACTCAGCGCCACTGCCAGCGGGCTGAGAATGGCAAGACTGAGGCTGAGAGAGCGAGTCCACCGTGCAGACTTGGCTTGCTGCAGCAACGCGTGGCTCTTTACTGCACATCCGTTGGCAAAAGAAACAAGTCATCGACAGGAAGTTGAGTGGCGGTGATTGATTGAATTGATTGGGGCTGCCAGGGACGGGGGTCCCATGACATCACCGCCGACCGGTCGGGATCTTTGAAGAGAGTTTGGATAACCCTCTCCACTTCTCTTCTTCTACTTACTTTGACTATCAATGCAATGACGATGCAGTGCCCAATGACATGTGGCAATCGCTTCGTGTTCCTGTCCCTTTCCTCTCCTTTATCTTTCTCTTAATCTCGCTCTCTCTCCTCCCTCTTTCGCTGCATGCACGCTCGTTCCACCTCCCACCCCTTTCTTCCCCCCCTTCATTCTTTTTGACCCGCTCGCGTCCTCCACTCCGAATCTTCATCTTTTATCCTTCTTTACTGTTGTTGTCTCCTGCAATTTTATTTCCTTCTCTTATACTTGGCTTTTCGAGCCATGTGTCCTGGTCGACTGTTCCCCCCTCTAGACTAGTACAATGCCACTCAACACCTTTGCCCTGAGTGTGGCCCTCACTCCGGCCGTCCTCCAGACCCTGATCTCGCATGTGGGTCGCCCTGCCGCTGTCACTTCACTGTTCTATCCCCATTTTGTTTGATCTCGGGTCATAGTTCATGGACCTTGACTCTGACATTGACCCTGATCCTCTATCTCCAGTATGTCCATCGCAAATCGCTTCGTCAGAAGCCCAACGTCCACGTCACCTACGATGAAGCCATCCGCATCCTGCGTGAATTCCTTGTCTATGCCTCCAAACATCCCGTCGAGGATCTCCAGGCCTTTACCTGCCAGAAGGTGCCCGCGCCCCATTGGGTGAAACTACAAACCGTGACTGTGTCGGAGGAATACCTCTCGTCAGCAGCCAAGGCCATCAACCAACAGTTGGGCCCCAAGGGCATCGCGCGGATAGGAGGGAGTGAGTGGTGGCAATGGCGTGGACCAGCCGAGGACCTCAAGGGAGAGTGGATCGAGATGAAGGATGATTACAATGAGCGGAAGCAGACCAGTCGCGATCATCCGAGCCAAAAGCGGATCATGCTGTATATCCACGGTGGGGCGTACTTCTTCGCTAGTCTGGATACCCATCGCTATCAGATGCAGCGGCACGCTAGGAAGCTTAAGGGTCGGGTTTTTGCACGGTAAGATCTATCGGCTATCTTTCATTTGCATGCAATGCTAACTTAATGTAGTGAGTTCTGGATCTACTGGGATGCGACCCGTGGACTGTAAAAGCTAATCCCTGATCTCCAGCTAAATATCGTCTGGCGCCGCAATTTCCGTTCCCATGCAGTCTACAAGACTCGCTAGCCGCATACTTGTATCTGCTGGAGGATCATGATCCGAAAGAGATCATTTTCGCCGGCGACTCGGCTGGTGGAGGAATGGTGTTCTCGTAAGTAAATTGTAGCGGTGGAAGAGCAACGCTGACTCTGGTAGGATGCTTGTCATTTGTCGCGATCAAGGTCTGCCTTTGCCGGCGGGTGCTATCCTAATTTCCCCTTGGGTGGACCTCACGCATTCGTTCCCGAGCATTGTCGCGGACAATCCGGGCGACTACATTCCTCCCTATGGCTTCAGACATAAACCCTCCGCTGCATGGCCCCCGCCAAACGCGGACGAGCTGCGTGAACTCAAGAAAGGCCTCAAAAAACACCCACCCAGCCAGAGTGAGGCTCTCAAGGCCATACCGAATGACAGCGAGGCGGAAGAAACAGCAGCGAAGGGTTATTCGAGCCGTAGGAACAGCGCGACCAACGCGGAACGTGCCTTCGACATCGAGCACGAGACTGTCAAAGTGGTTCTTGATGGGGAGACCGTGGAGGTCAAGGATCAGATTCATATGTACACTACTAACGAGCTTTTGTCTCATCCTCTCGTCTCCCCTGTCTTCCAGCCGTCACTGGGAGGTTTACCTCCGTTGCTGATTCAAAGCGGAGGTGGTGAAATGCTACGAGATGAACAGTTCTACATTGCACATAAGGCCGCCAACCCCACAGCATACCCGCCCAGTGACAAGTTCCTCGACGAGCATGATCCATCACGCGAGATTCTTCACAAATACCCCGGTACCCATGTTCAGCTACAAGTCTGGGACGACCTCTGCCACGTCGCTCCCACCCTCAGCTTTACACGACCCGCGAAGTATATGTACCGGGCGATCGCTCAATTTGGGGCCTGGGCTCTGGCATGTGCGCAGAAAGAGGAGGTGGAAATCGAAGATCAGCAGTCCGGGTCATCCAGCGAATCTGAAAAACCAGGAGACACTGCTAACGGTACCGCCAACGGCACTGCAGTCGCATCGATTGGACGGGCAGGCGATCCATTACCGGCCTTCAAAGACCGCATGATCCGTCAACGAGTCGACAAACGGGGGAATATCTACCCGCTTGATCCACCGTCTCAGTGTCCCGTCCTCCAGATTCCCAGCTCCCAAGTCGGTACCTTCAACCCCAAACTTGTTCGTGGATGGCTGGCAGCCAAGGAGGAATGGGACGAGAAGTTCGCCAAAGACAAGCTCCGGGTTCAGCGACAGCGGATCAAGGAATTGGCGTATGGCCTTCAGACATTCAAGGACGAGTTGCCTCCGCCCAGTTCACTTGCTGCGAGACGCAACGCCCCTGGCGTCTTGCCCTCCAAGACCGGACGCAAGAGTTACCCCATGACGATGTGGAGCAGACTTGCGAGCAAGCAAGACGAGAGATCGATCGCTAAAGAACAGCAGAAAGGCTGCGAGGTCAAGCGGAAGAGTGTCGACGCCGGACGCGCCGGAGCGTCAATGGACGAGGCCAACAGATCCAAAGCCGAGAGTGTACGGCCGTCCTCTCAACCGGCTACCCTTGCCTCGCACCCTACGAACGTCGTTATTGTTCCAACCCAATCAGAAAAAGACAGCGTAACCTCCCACAAGGCGTCAACTGACGCAGTCGATCAGCTGGGAACCTCTCCCCCGCAAGGTACAACCTTCAGCAAGTCCAGCAGCCGACTCATGTTACTCCCCGAATACGAGGGGAAGACGCTCCTTGACGAAAACGCCAGCACAAGGACGCTCTTCCGTGAACCTGGCGCCATCCCCACCACATCAGATGGCGTATGGTCACGACTTCGCCAACGGCCACTATCTCATGCCGGCTCCGGAACTATCCGCAGCGAATTCACCTCCGAGCTTCCTGAAGATAGCAGCACGATCGGCGATGAGAAGTCACTTGCGGTGACCACCACGAATGTGGACGAAGCCAGCACCCGCGCTGTGCTGCGCGCTGGTGGTGTGGTGGGTCTGATGAGCGATGATGGCGACTCAGCCTATCGCTCGTTCGATGCGCTGTCGACCACGGATGCAGGTGATGCTGAATCAGTGCCTGGTGGCGTGGATGGTGATACCGGAGGGGTGAATGGCAGTGCTGATGTTGACAAACACGCGCGTCCCACTATGCCGGATCGCGAGTTCTTCAAGACGGCTGAGGAGTATGTGGCTTATTGAGTTGCTAGCCGGTGGGATTGTGCTGATGATATATGCCTTTTGGACTTTTGCCTCTTGTCTCGCGACATGGCGATTGGCGCGTCTTCTGCAAGTGTCATGGCGAGTATATGCCACTGTTCTATCTATAGTTCTGATCTATCGTTTATTGTTTTGGAATACCCCGTTGTCGAATACTGCAAAGACATACACCATCTCAAATACCTGCATGACTGTACATACCTCAATTACATAACCATTAACCATAACACATTTTGGGTATAATCATACACACATACTATACAAACAATCCTCATCTCTCCCTCCCTAAAGATACAAACCTACCACTCAATCCCCACCTTCTTTGCCACCTGCTCTGCAACATCCAAAAACGCCCTCCTTCTCACGCCCTCCTTCCCCTCCTTCCCTTCCTCAGCAACCACGCTCGGCATCCCCCGATCGGCATCCTCACAAACCCTCGCATCCAGCGGCACATCACCCAGAAACCCAATCCCCAGCCTCCTACACTCCGCCTCCACCCCCCAATCCGCCCCCTCATGCACATGCCTCCCCTGCGAAAAGATCTTCGTCTGCGTCCCACACTCCGGGCACGCAAAGAACGCCATATTCCTCACCATCCCCAGCACCGGCACATCCATGCGCTGGAACATGCCGATACCACGCACTGCATCGCGTAGCGCAATATCCTGCGGCGTGGTCACGATCACGGCTCCATCGAGGATAATCTCTTGGTTGATGGTGAGCTGCACGTCGCCGGTGCCGGGGGGAAGGTCAAGGAAGAGCACGTCCAACGGACCCCAGGAAACGGAGTGGAGGAGTTGGTGCATTGCTTTTGTGACCATTAGACCGCGCCACGAGATGGGGGTTGGGTCCATGGGGGGCCGTTCGGTCGGGTCGGTGGTCGGAGGTGCTTGGGTGCTGGGGAGGAGGTAGCCCATTGACATGGATTTGAGTCCGTAGTTGGTTAGAGGGAGGAGGCAGTTTTCTGTCATTCCAACCGAGTTATTCATTAGTTGAGGATTCCCTGGGAATGGGAAGGTGTAGGTGGGATAACGCACTATCGTCTAATCTAGGCTCGCCGGATAGGTTCAACAGAGTGGGAATGGATGGGCCGAAGATATCGGTATCGAGGATGCCGGTGCGGATGCCGCGGCGGGCGAAGGCGAGAGCAAGGTTGACTATTGATAGATTGTAGCCATGTTAATATATGTCTAATTGAACAAAGTGGTATAAAGGCATACCCGCTATCGTCGACTTCCCCACCCCACCCTTCGCCGAAGACACAGCAACAGCCTTCTTCACATCGCGGATCTTGCGCTTCTCGGGCAGCCCGCGACGACTTCGGAGGGACGGCGGCGTGCCGGAGCGAGGGAGGCCCTGAATACCTCATTAGTACTAATCTTCTGATGTCTCGGAGGAGATGAGAAATACCAGGGGATTTTCATGTTGTAAGCTCCGAAATGTGGAGAACAATCTCTTCCCCAACATGGTGAACGAGTATGATCAATTGCAAGTAATGTCACTAGTAGTTGAAGCCCGTCTACTATGATTAAATGATGGAAGCTAATACTGCCAGAATAAATCTCACCGCCGGCAAAACCCACCCCATTCCACCTAACCGTTTCCCAATATGGTATGTAATCCCGACACCGCATTCCGAAATCTCGGGCAGAAAAAAAAAAGTTGCAAAGGGAAACTAGTCTGCGGTCTTGAGTTTCTGCGCTCTAAGTTATTTGCATCACTCTGCTTTGTTTCTCCTTGAACCAAAAGCATTCACAGCCATGGCTCCGAAATCTCTGGCGGAACAGATGGCGGAGTTGGAGGATTTGACTCCGAGAGGTAATTCACTAATTCTAATCCTGTTGATGGTGATGTTGATGTTGTTGGGGGGAACTATGTTCTGACTATGGTGATGTTTTTTAGACTACGACCCTGAGGATCTTGATCGCGGAAACCAGGATAGTGATGAGGAGGGTGCTGCTGGTGGTAAGGATGAGAATGCGGGGAGGGAGCATTATCAGGCTGTTGGGTAGGTTTTTCGTCATTTCTCGTTTTGTTTATGGGTTGGTGTCTAGTGTTCATGGGGCGTGTTCTAATTATTGTATCATTGCAGAAAAGCGAAGCTTCGCAAGCAGGACCCCATCACCCTCGGAAAACAGTATGCTGGGTCGAAAGTGAGTCGCGCGGCGTTGGAGGCTGATAGTGATGATGATCCGTTTGCGGCGCGGTCGGGTGATGAGGATGAAGATGAAGATGATGACGAGGAGGAGGAGGACGAGGACGAGGATGAAGATGAGGATCTGGAACTTGGTAGCGACGAGGATGACGAGGACATCTCCGAGAGCGAGGAGGAGGAGCAGCGCCCGTCCAAGTCCGTAAAGAAGGGAAAGAAGCAAGTCGAGCTGGACGACATGGACACCGATGAGTCGGACGACCTTGAAGGCAGCGAAGGATCGTTCGACGAGGACGAGATGCCCTCCGACGAAGACGAGGAGGATGAAGATGATGACGAAGAAGAGGAAGAATCAGAATCAGAATCCGACTCCGACTCCAAATCGCGCAAACCCACCAATGACCGCGACGAACTCCGGCGCCTGATGGCAACCGACCAAAAGACCATCGCGGCGAGCATCTCCCAAGCGGCCAAAGCCGACGCCGCGAAAGGCAAAGCCGTGAAGCAACAACGCGCGACCTTCGACGCCCTCCTCAACACCCGAATCAAGCTCCAAAAGGGCCTAACAGCCATAAACCAGCTCTCCCTTGCCGCCACCTCCCCCGACGCAGACTCCGAAGAAGCCATCACCTCCGCCGAATCCGCCGCTCTGGCACTCTGGTCCACGCTCGAAGACCTGCGCGTTGCGCTCGCCGACGCCCACAACACCAACGGTAGCACAGAGGAACCGAAGAAGCGCAAGCGCGTCGACACCGACACCCCCACCGCGACGCTCTGGACACGCATGACCGATCTCGAATCCGCCGCGACCACCCACCGCCGCACTATCCTCGACAAATGGTCCGCCAAAGTCCGCGGCTCGACTGCCACGACAGCCGCCAACACCCGCGGCAAGCTCATCAACCCATCTGGCTCGGGCGCGCAATCCATCACCGCCGTCCTGGACGCCCAGGTCGCGACCGAGACAGGCGACCATTCCCGTGCTGCTAAGCGCGCCCGTCAAGACACCACCACTACCACTGCCGCCGAAGGCGCAGCAGCCACTACCCCCATCTACGACGACACCGTCTTCTACCAATCCCTACTCCGCGACCTCGTTGAGCAGCGCATGGCCTCCTCCGATGCGATCACCAACGGCCTCGATACCCTGCACATACAACTGCCGACGCGCGGCGGAGCAGCAATCCACCCTGTGACGGGGATGCGGAAGGACAAGGTCAAGCGGGATGTGGATACGCGGGCGTCGAAGGGTCGCAAGATGCGGTTCGATGTTCATGAGAAGTTGCAGAATTTCATGGCGCCGGAGGATCGTGGTAGTTGGACGAAGCATGCGCGCGAGGAGTTCTTTGCGTCGTTGTTGGGTAAGACGGCCAGTGGGTTGTTGAGGGAGGAGAGTGGGGATGAAGAGAGTGGTGCGGAGGAGAGTGAGGAGGATAGAGAGGAGGGTGGATTGCGGTTGTTTAGGAGCTAAGTAGATCCTGATTGCTTACTTGGGGTGTATAGTATTCGGTTGCTTTCTTATTCAAGAGGTAGTTCAGTGGGGGAAAAGTGTGGAGTGTATATAGCTTGGATTGATTACTATGTATGGTATGTGGAATTGGTACACAACAACACAACACAACAACAACAACAAAAGTCACAGTTTGGTTCGACTACCCCGACATTTGTCTGGCCTCTGTTCCTCTCCCTCTTGGGGATGGTCGTATCGGTCATAATTCATTAATCGTAATGCTTTGCTGCCGGGCAATAGGTAAGGTAGTGAGTATCCACACCCTCGGATATATCCTCATCCACGAACTCCCCTATCGAGCGCAAAGCAGCAGGTCGGCACGTATGCATCTCAATCCATCAACAGACAGACCAACACCCAGCACAGAGCCCAACCTTTAAATCAGCAATAAAATAAAAGCCGCAGTGGTTCAGTAGGTATCACCGCTGCGCTCCCCTCTTCGCAGGCGAATACCTCGGCAACCACCCGGCAGCCGACCCAGCAGACAGGGGTCTTTCCCACTCGAAGCTGGTCTGTCTCGGCAAACCGAGCATTTTCTCCTGTACAGCACGCTGGAGCTTCATTTTCCGTTCTTCTTCTTCCTGGGGGGAAAGGAAATGCGGGAAGCCGTCGTAGTCGACGATGACGGCGCCGCTGACGTCGTTGTAGCCTGGGAGGGAGGAGACAGGGATGGATCTGGTGGTTGTGTCGATCATGGTTGGATCGCTTTCTTTGTCTTGTGGTGATGATTGTTGTTGTTGGTGGTCTTGTTGGGAGTATGTGTAGGTTGGGGGTGGTGAGGGTGGTGTTGATGTTGATTTGTCGGCTAGGTAGTACTCGGCTGGGGAGTTGATGTCTTCCCAGATGAATGAGGCGGTTTCTTTTTCGGTGGGTGTTTCTGGTTCGGATAGTGGTGGTGAGTGGAGGAGTGGTTTGGATATTTCGGATGCGAATAGGTCTGGTTGTTGTTGGGGTTGTGATGGTGAGTATGGTTGGTGGGTAGTGATAGTAGTAGGAGTATTGTTGTTGGTGTTGGGTAGTAGAGGCTCCGAAGGACTAGTCGGAGTAGTACAAGGCTTATCCATTTTACCGGCAGAGGTGAAAAGGGACCGGAAGGATGAGAAGGGGTGGCAGCCTATTACTGGCCAAGAGGAGGTAGAGTTGTTGTCAGGCATTGATTCGATCAATGGCTTAAGTAGTAGATAGATAGAGAGATGTTATTGTTGGCAGCAGCAGGAGAGAAGGAATGGCATTAGCACTCTGCAAGATGCGGGGGAAGTGACAGTCCATTGGACCGGGAGCGCGGGAATAGAGTTTCTTTAGTAGTTTTAGCAGTGGCCGAAAAAGACGGGGAAAAGGGAGAAGAGGATGTGCAAATGACCTTCAGGGGTATGGAGGGAACTAACTAGTCGCATTTTGCATCCAACAAGTGAATATGCGGAGCCGTGACTCGGAACCGAGGCAGGCAAATGGATGATCAACCACTTCACGTGCCTCCCCTGGCACCTCTCACTTCTGACTATTGATTTTGGCCCAGCCGATCAGGCGGAACTGGAAGGAGCTAGTGCTCTTGAACGCACTCCTGAATGATGAAAACGGAGGCGGATGCGATGCTCTCAATTCCGGCTTCCATGGTTGCATTTCCGCCTGGCTCCACGTCGAATACGCGTTGTTATCCACCCGGATTAGGGCTTCGCTTGGCTTGTTACGGTGGAAATGGACGTTTTCGGGCTCCCGATAATACTCATCCGATCAACTACCATAAGTCTTCTGGAAATACTGAAATTTGCCTCGAACTTTCGGTCCAGGCTTCATGTTGCTTCTACTTGGACCCTATCGGAGCCGGCAATCTCCGTGGCGCGATAGTCTCTGCAGCATGCATGGGAATGGCGCCGCGTGATAGGCGAACCCATATGCAGGGTGTCCGGCGTGCACGATGTGCCATTTAGGTTCGCGATTTCAAGATCCGTTGCCATTTGTGTCATGTCTACACCGCTACAATGAGGCCCGATTGTGAGGTGCCCGATAGGATTCAGCTCAAGTCTCAAGGTTGGGGCTAGATTCGACTGGTCCGCGAAACTGCATCGACTGGTTGTCGCATGTGTTGGTGCAGTAGAATCATGCCCAATGTGACGTCTACAGCCCAGCAGGCGTGAGCGCCAGTTATATCTACGGCCATTATCTGCCAATCGGCATGCGTCACAGAACCCGGCGGTCATATCGTCCTTTTAAGCTTTTAGCCACTTGATCAGATGGTGCTAGTCCACCGGTGCATATGCCCGGACGAATAAGAGCTGATAGAAAAAGCGAGAGTCCAGCACAGAGACGCACTGCTAACGTTTCTGCATCGATTACCCTGGCGAGGATCCCAGCGTGGCTAGACTCATCACTGGGGCAATGCGGGCGACTGCTGCCTGGCCGAGATCCACAGTTGATTGGGCTCAGCACAAGGGCAATAGCTGGTGACGTGCTGGGACTGTTGGAGCCGACCTATCCCGAGATAGGTGGCACAGCGCATAGTGCTCAGTTTTGCCGAATGATACACCTGTCACTCTTTGAGTTACAACGCCTGGAGTTCGGTATATGTTCGGGTCAGTTCAACTGTCCGTCTCTTCGTCAGCCCATTGCTCTCGTAAGGACTGGATCGATGCCGTCACATCCCACCCCGTTCTCGTCCACATCTCTCTGAGGAGGATTTCTGCAGCCTGCTGGTCCGTCTTTTGCCGAATGACCCAGCCCCCTAGTGCCACAGTTAGTCGAGTAGAGGAAAAGGTTTGCGCTCAGTCCATGCCACATGACTCGACTGCCATGTCACTTACACGCTACTAGGCTATGCCGTGCGGTGAGAAGCGTATTCTCCGCTTTGGGATTTGACTTGGCCAATCCCAGCACCATGAACAGGTGATAGCGTATCGCTTTCTGAGTACAGTCAGGTGATAGAACCATATTAGAATCACACCAACGTACCTCGATGTTTCGCGAATTTCTGAAACTCTCGTAAGCAAGCGGAGGACTTGGGCAACAAGCAAAGGCAAGAACTATCTTGGCGATATGGTAGTACTGAGTTCCGACCACTAAATTGGAAAGACATTAGTCGAAATCAGGCAGATGTCGGAATACTCACCATGCACCGGTAGCAACATCCACATCTCTGGGAACCGATGCGAGACATCCTTTCCACGAGGAAGCTCACGCAGGGGTTGGAAGGACGGCGGCTTTCTGGCATTCCAGTCTTCAACTTCCTGCGCAATACTCTGTAGCGCAGTGTATTCTAGCGAAGACATCTGATTGAAAGCACATTTGAGGACTTTGGCTAACAGGAAGACCATCCGAGCCGCCCACGCAAAATCATCGTTTCTTAGAAAAATATCGGAGTGGTGGAAGCTTTCCAGATTTGTTCGTAGGGGCTTTTGCGAGATCAGCGATACATGAATGTCCTCACGGAGACAGAGCCAGGCTGCCGCTTCACCCAATCCCCCGGAGGATCCAAAAGAGGAGACAGTATTCATGATACGCGTTGCCCCTGTCAGATGGAATTGGTTGTCGTCATCTATATCAAGTCAGCGCCGTGAATGCTTCTGTGGCAGCACGGCATCACATACACTCCATTTCCTCGTGTTGGCGAAGGATAGCAACAGTAGCAAGAACAACATCGGTCAGATCACCACCAGTTCCAGATAATATGGGAATCAGAAGCTGCAGACAGTGGTTATGATATTGCAACGCCTCCGCTTCGTTTCCCTTTTTTTGTCGCTCGACATGGCGAGAGGAGAAAGCGAAGATCGCATATCGCAGAACGGAATCCTGCATTGCTCTCACAGGTACCTCTATCTCGAAGTGTCGATGAGGGTCGGTTATATCTGCCTTTGAGGGGTCAGCGGCAGAACAGAAACTTGAAGATGCCAATCATCCGCTCGTACCCACAACGCCATGTTCTCAACATAATTCCGCATCAACTTCGCTTCTCTCTCGTTGAACGAGAGCCACTGTTCCTGCACCAAACCACCAGTCTGCAACTCCCTTCCCGTAACTCTGTCAGTATGCTGAAGAGCAGTTCCCATCAACAATTCTAATTCAGACGAACGACCATCATCGCATAGTGTCTGCATCGGCGTGGTATCATCCGTCAATGGCGACATATACTGCTCGAGGCCATGGTACCCCACAACTCCGACTGGAGTTGTATGGGCATTATTGACCCCACGAGACTGCTCTGTTGAGCCATTATGCTCTGGCTCTTCCACCTCATACAACCGTTTGATGATGACCGTCTCGTCAACGAACCTCACTTCAGAAATTGAGAAGGTCAGCTTGACACCACCAACCGCCAAAGAGACAGAGAATCACTAACGTGGACCCATCAAGTATGGCCACAGATCCCTTTCCGGGAAGAGAGTATCATCATTACCGAAGATGTCTAGTCCGTTCCGGAAGCGCACGTTTACTCCTCTATCGCAGTCTGTACCTGCCCGGAGGCAATGGCTGCAAGCTGGAGAATTGGTGTCGCCTGTAGGGTAGACGTGTCAGTTCAAGACAGTAGACCTATTTGTGGGGAGTACGAACACTTCAGATGACGGACTAAACAAGAGAAGAATTAGTCCACATACGAATCTTCCCATCACCTTCGGTGGAGGTGAGAGGGCGGTCTAGGAACTTACTCCGACATCTTTGACTGAAGGGATGGGTTAGCGTAGCAATCTAGGAGCGATGATAGGTGGTTGGGTAATTACCAGCCAGCGATCAGACGATGTCGTGGTTTGCGTGATGGGGTCATGGGGGTTCTGGTGCCATTGAGAGCGTGAGAAAATGGATGAGGAAACACGGAAAGAGTTGCCTTGTAGAGGTGAGTGCGGGCTAGTCTGAAATCGGTCGGGCCATCCCCCGCATCCCATATTAAATCCCCGCATTCGCTAAATGAAGGAATCCGAGCCACGGTCGGGCCTATCCGTCACTTGTTGGATGGGCCATTCTTGGCATTTATTATAGATATAACAGGTTCAGTAGTTAAACCAACTTCATTCATACTCATGAACACATCATCCAGAAAGAAAAACCTATATGCAATGACAAACGCTCAAAAAGTCCATAGTACATGATTACCGACGCCAAAAGCTCAACATGAGACGATAGATGAAGGCTCAATAATACTCCGGCAGATTGCCAAAACTAGGGATGGCATCCCCGCACTTAAAGGCCGGGCTATAGGCCTTCTTCGGCATGTAGCCGTTCTTCCACGCCGTCCGATAGCTCCACTGTGCTGCAGACTCCGTTGCCCAGGTCCAGTAGAACCACCCCATGGCGGTTTCAAAAGCCGACATCTGTGCTTCGGCGTAGGTTTGGAGGAACGTCTTGTATCCTTCCGAGTAGACGCCGGGGACAGCGTTCGCTTGCGTGCAGCTGCAGGTCCCCTCACTCGCTGTGGGACAGTATTGAGTCGAGTCGGTAAGAGAGAAGGTACCTTCCCAACGAGTACCGCGGCCGACGTTGTTAACGTATTGAGCACAGTCGGTGTCGGCTTGGGACCATTCACCGCATATGGTTGGGCCCCATCTAGATAAGGTCAGTAACTTGCGATGGTGGGAAGGACTGGGGGTGGATACGAACCCCGTGCTGGTGATATTGATCTGCTGGATCATCGAGTACCAGCTTTCGCAGATGAGCTCCACTCTTCTGGTGTGGTTGAGGACAATCTCGCCCGTGTTGAAGACGGTGTATTGGTGGGTATCAAGCATCATGTTGTTCGGTCGAGTTTTAAGCATCTTATCCCATTTCGCTAGATTGAGGAAGCCGTCGTGGGCGGTGACCCAAGCTTTAATACCGTTCTTCTGTACCAGGTTGGTAGCTTCTACTGTCCAGTTGAGGACTTTTTCGACAGGCAAGGAAAGCATTAGCGGTTCGTTTACGAGGCCGTAAATCGTCACGACGTTCTTGTATCGGTCCTGTGCGAAGAACTGCGAGAGCTGGTCATGTATCTCGAGAGATCGTTTTCGATTTAATTCTCCGTCGGTCCCGTTCAGCCAGCCGATCGTGCCCTGTCGACCGCTGTGATTCCAGCCGTTCTGACTCCCTGGGATTCCGTGGGGATCGAGGTTGACTCGGAGGCCGTATTTGCGGCAGTATTCAATGGCCCTGAGGAGGTAGCGCCATGCGATCTTTGGGACATACGGATCTCCATCGTATGTCTTGATGGCCCAGTATGAAAACTGGATCCGAACGTGATCGAGACCGGCATCTCTGATGTCAGCAAAGTCTTGCTCGGTGATGAATGTGGCATAGTGCTTTTCGATGACTGAGGCAGCCGAGTCGCCGAGTTTCTTGGATAGCGTCCACTCGTCGATTATTCCTTCGCTTGAAGTGTAGGTATCGAAAAGCGAAGGGACAATGAACGGCTCGATCGACAACCAGCCTCCAAGGTTGACACCGCGAATAGGTTGCGACCCGTACGGAAACTTCTCGTCCAGAGGTGGCACGTTTTCGTTCGCTTGGGCTGAGTCGTTCCACGTTGAGTTCAGACCCATAATAGACAAACCACCAACGGTGGCATTTGTAAAGGTCACATTGAAATCAGTGGTATCGTACCATGTAAATGGATCGAGGTACGTCCCTCTAGCATAAGCCTAATATGGTCAGTATCACCAAGAGGTAAATAGAGCTCAAACAGACCGGAATACTATCACGACTAATTCCTTCCAGATTAGAATTCGAAGAGCTATCAGCTCCATTAGTCCCGTGAAGTCGCCTTGCCTCAATAATCCCCACAGGGATCGCTATAGCTGCCATGACTATTAATATTGCAAAGAAGATGAATGTTTTGTGATATCGCTTCCAGAACGACGGCCTCGCAGAGGCAGAAGAACCTTTCGTGCTGCCATCCCAGTCACTCTCTTTCTGGAGCAATCCCTCCGTAGGCGGCCCACCTCCACCACGATGTCGCATCTCGATACCAGGGCCTCCCTGTTCCAACTGCGCCCCAGACACTACCCTACCCTGCGTCTGTCCCGTCGGCGCTACTGCAGGAAACGGTCGAAGCATCATTGGCTCCTCACTTAGCACCGGAAGTTTCCTTTGCCTACCACCCTCCAGATTCTTTTGTGACATTGAGTCCGCACGCTCACTGCCCAGATGACTCAAGCAATCCTCATCGCCATCCTGTGACCCCAGCAGCTTTGCCAGGGCATCCCCACTGACCAATCCAGCTGATGCATCCCCGTTCTTATGTTTGAAGAACGCCGCAAGCCTCTCTTTCCTCCTCTGCCGTCGCGTCTCTCGATCCAGCCGCTTCTTCCCCTTTCCATTACCTAGAGAATCAGATGGCAACGGGGGTGGTCCATCATCGCCAAGCGCCCCGCTCATATGGTACTGATACTCTTTTGCTTGAGTGACATCCTCTTCCTTGGGAATGGCAGTC